AAAATTTACTACTTTAGTTTCCCCCCGGAAAGATTAAAACGGGTAGCATTTTAGTGTAGAGAAGATAACCTTCCAAAATCCTTATTTCTAAAACATTATTAAAAAAAAAAGAAACTTACTGTTGCTCGTAGAACACCCTGCGAAATACAAATCTACAACCCGTCCGATTCGCACCGAGTGATACACTGAAATGCATTATTATATCAAAAGTTGAAAACGTCCTTCACGGACCCGGTTTTTGTACGATTACGGGTTTTAGTCACCTTTGAAACTAATCATAAACTTGCACTTTGAGAAAAGAAATAAAAGTATTCGTTGCTTTAATTTTACTTGCGTTCACTTGCTATGGGCGCATTTTTATTTGCAATTTTGGTTTTTTAATTTGCTTTTGAAAACATGGAAAAAAAGGAAGCTGTATAGTGTGAAAAAAAAGACATAGCTTAAAGAAATATAGGATCTTTTTTACTGTTGTAGAAGCCATCCCCATTGAAAGTCTTCGGTCCGAAAGTGGCCAACCGTAATGTGTTATATTATTTGGGGAGGGGGCACACAAGGACCCGCAGTAATTCTTCTGGTAGTAGTGGTTTTCACTTTCGTTCAGAACATTCTGTCGCCATTCCAGTTTCTCAAGCTTCTTCCAGAGCTTCTAGCTCTAGAAATAGCTTTTCAAAAACTCTCTGGGCAGCGCTATGGATATTCTCGAGGATATTCTAAACGCCTTCTACAATATTCTAAGCGCTTTTCAGATTTTTTTAGGTTTCCGTCATAGTTTTCAAGGCTCTTGTTAGGTTTACATTCCACGGCTCTCTAGATTCGCCTATCTCAGGAAAGGTTCTATAATATTCATATAAACCTCCCCAGGAGTCTCTGAAAAACAGTCTCAAAACTCCTGTGGGGAAATAGAAACCTTCTAAAAGCAATTCTAATTATAACGTTTAGGGCGTCTCAGTTCAATTGAAGGGTCCTTATATGGTGCGGTCGAATGAACAGGAGGTTTCAGTAAAATTCCTTGAAAAATTAGAACTCGACTCAATGCGGATATAATTGCCAGTTTCGAAAAAGAATTTTTTGAATGATCAAAAATAAAGGAAAAATCTGAGCAATGGAGATTTAAATTCTCAGCACTTCTAAATTATATTCGTTTTAATATGTACTGTTGAGTGGCCAGAATTTTTACCCGAGATGTAAATAGGGTAATTTAAAATTGGTGTATCTACTTAAGCTAGTTTCAAGGTTTCATTATGAGAATGATTAGACTGAATGCCATGAGAAAAAAAAGTGTTACAGTTACGCTAGGAAAAATCTCTGTATCTATTCCAATACATTTTTAGAAAAATGCGCTAGTACCTATACAAAAGTATTTTGTGATTAAAATATACAAATACAAAATTCTTGTAGGACCCAATGACATTCTTGAAAAGATTTTCATTCAAATTTCAAAAATTCCTAACAAGATTTTGAAAAATTTTCAAAAAAGTTTGCGAATAAATTTCTAAACCCAAAAATCTTTCTAACCAGATGATTAAGATGTTGGTGACGCAGATTTCAGCGTAAAATAATGGAAAACATTTCCAGTTTCAGAGCCCGGCCGATAATGGGTCAATTCCCGAGGAGAGAGATTTAAAAAAATGTGCTATTAAAGACCCTCTTAAACAGTAAAAGTCTAGTAAAGACTCCAAAGCGTTTAGAATGGACAGCCTAAGAGACTCATAAAAGCTCCGTAACGGCATCAAGGTTCGAATTTCAAACGAGTATTAAAGGCTGTTTTACGTGATATGTATGTCTTTGGAGACTTGAAAACTCCTCTGAGAGTTCGGCATTAAATGTTTTTAAAGGTCCTTGAAGCTTCTTGAAGATACCTTAAAAGCTCTCAAACTGTGTTCTTAACGGGAGGACGGGAGTACAAGTTTTTGGAACGCCCATGGGGGGTTCGATTTCTAAATGCTTAGAAAAGCTCATACAGATTTTCAAACGCTCCTAAAGACTCAAAATGCGTCTAAAAGACTCTCAGAGTCTTTTGAAAACCGTTGGAAACTTACGGTTCACATTTAAAAACCCTTCATTAGGTACACCTCCACTGCATGGCGGGCCTGACAGGCCTGTTAGAGGTTCTAATGCTCACTAGATGGCTGTGGAGACCATTGAAGTGTCTTGGAGTACAAATATTTTGCAATTCATGAAAGATCTTGAACTTTTTAAATGACTACAAAGAACCACTAAAGGTTTTTAGTTATCTTAAACACTTGAGTATCAAGAAGACTCCAAAAGACTCTTGGGTTTTTTTTAACTCGTAAAGAAAGATTATAGAGACACTAGGAGGATCTTGAAAATCCTTAAAGGTCTTTAAATGCTATGAAAGTTAACGAAGACTAGCACACGTTAGAAAACTAGGACACTTTTACAGAATAATAAACGAATGTCTTTATAAAAGCCTCTAAAAAGTTGGTAGATGGTATCAAAGACTCTTTGCAAACTATTCCCCTTCAATGACCACTAACATTTTGTCTCTTGTTGCCCTTTGAAACACAAACTTCTCTTTCAAAAATCAGTGTCAGGATTACAAAAACGCATGTTGATTTAAAAACTTATGGACGGGACACCCTAGTATTTTAACACCTGTATGTTCTCCTAATACGAATTCCTTCTTTTTCAATTGTTATACCAAGAGCGCAAAAAACGAAGGAGAGCAAATCATTGTCTACAGTCTACACCTTCTCAAATGTTATGTCATTCGTAACAAAAATTTCCGTTTTAACGTTTTGTTAAGATCAGAAGTTACATAATTTATTAAATGACAGGTTTTTACGTACTTATTTCTCTTTTAAAAAGTGCTGTATCAGGAACACAGTAACGCGAGAAGATTAAAAATCTACTGTCTTGGACATCTCACATTTCATTGTAGCGAATATTCTAGAATATCCAGGTCGCCACCGGCCGCCATCGAGTCTTTCTGGAAAATGCGATCTGCTTATTCGGGAATTCTCGAGAATATTTCGTGATTTTTCCAACCACGCCTGATACACATTTTTTTAAATTGTTGTGTCAAGACCGTAATAACACAAAAATCAAATCATGGCCAGGCACCTACTCAAATGTTATGTTCTTCGTTAACACAAATTTCTCTCTCAAAGTTTCATCTTCAGAAGATAAAACAGACGTTTTATGTTCTTCTAATACAAATTTCGCTGTTATCAGGATCACAGAAACGCAAGAAGGTAAAAAAATTATTGTCGCGTATTCTTTTTCAAACATCAGTCTCGAGATCACACAAACACACCCAAATTTAATAGCTTACCACGCTTCATGTTCACCTGATATACATTATTTTCAGTTGTATTAAGACTGTAAAAACGCAGAAAAAGCAAACCATTGTTCGATTCTCACGTGTGATGTTCTCCTGATACAAATTTATCTTTTAAAATTGCTGTATCAGGATCACAATAACGCGGGAAGATTAAAAATCTTCTCCCCGACACAAATTTCTTTCTTAGAATTGCATAAAAAACAGCACCTTCTCACTTATTCTCTACTCCTTTTTAAAATGTTTGTATCCCGGTAAAAAAAAATCGTGTCACTTTTTTTGTGGGACAGATATGCATTTCCATTTCGAAAATCAGTCTCAGGAGCACAGAAACGCACGAGGATAGCAGAAAAGCAAGAGAGCAAACTTTGTCAGACACCGCGATATTCTCGCGTAATTTTTGTGACCCAAACTTTTTTTTTAAAAATCAGTCTCAGGATTACAGAAACGCACCGGGACTTAAAAACTGATCACGCTTTATCTTCGCGTGATACACATTTTTAGCACCCGCACGTTAGCAAGGGGAGTAAAAAATGACCCCCCCCCCATTTTTTTACGGAAATACACGGTTTGAAGCACCAGGAATCCGAATCAAACAAAATCTCGATGATGTCGATCGGTCCCTCCCTACTCTCATTTCCGACTAAACGGCTGAACCGATTTGAACAAAATTTGGTACACAGATAATCAGACATAAAGGGGCGGAATCGCGCATAAGCAAGTGGTAGCTGTGCTAACAACAGCACATGGTTGTATCAAAACGTCGTACTCCACATTTTTCTTTAACAAGTTGTATCAGGATCAAAAGTTAAAAAGTTTATTTTTATTTATTTATTTATTTTGCCTTTATTTTTGAGTGGGCGGGGTTTCAGCCAAGGCTGCTCTACCAACCCAACCCACTATACATTTACAAATATCCATGCCCGAACCCGGATTCGAACCAGGGACCCTAGCACCACAGTCCAGCTTCAACTGAACTGCGCCACACGTCCTCCTGATACAAACTTCTCTTTAAAAAATTTCTGTATTAGGATCACAGCAACGCGAAAAGCTTGGACACCTCACGTGAATTTTATCTACTCCCCGATACAGATTTCTCTTCACAAAATCACAAGCACCTTCTCACGATTTCGCACCCCTGACACAACTTTTAAAAATGTTTGTGTCCACATCACAGAAACGCAAGAAGTCACAGGATTACGAAAGGGTACCAAGATTTAAAAACTTATGGACGTCCACCTTCTCAAAAGTTGCATCAGCATCAGAGTTGTTCATGTATTATGTTCTTCCGATAAAAATGTCTTTGTTAAATTGCTCATCAGGATCGCAGAAACGCGGGAATATTAAAAATCTATCCTCTTGGACATCTCACATTTTACCTTCTCCCCGACACAAAATTTGTTTTTTTAAACAGCACTTTCTCACGTATTTTATACTCCTGATACAAATTCTCTTTAAACTGTTTGCATCCAGGTAAAGGTAAAAAAATAGTGACGGTTTTCATGTGATACATACTTCCTTTTCAAAAACCAGCATCAGGATTACATAAATGCGCGAAGATTTGATAACTTAGCACGTTTTATGTTCGCCTGATACAAATTTATTCAGTTGTATCAAGACGGTAAAAACACAAATCGTGATCTGACAACGTGTTATGTTCTTCGTCGCACAGATTTCTCTTGAAAAAGTTGTATCAGGATCACAAGTTAAAAAATTTATTAACAAACATTCTCACGTATTATGTTCTCCTAATACAAACTTATCTTTTAAACTATATGCGGTTGACAGTAATGCGGAAAGGGATTCTCTTTGGCATCTCAGCTCACATTAAGATCTTCTCCACTACTATTTCAAAAATCTTAAACCAGTATCAGGATCACAGAAACGCTAAAAGAAACTTACCACGCTTTATCTTTGCCCGATCACAGAAGGCGCTTACGCGGAGCCTAATTCACCTTACTTCGAGCCCCATATTAAGCGATTTATTTAGCGTGGACACCCTTGGCTACGTCACTGACCATCTAAACAAAATGGCGGGAAAAAAATTTACATCCCATTTTTACGTAACCAAAAAACCAATTGAAATCTACAGTAAGGTTTAGAGCTGCTGAAAGAATTGAGGGCAACGCCCAAATGACATTTTTGAAGAGGGAGCTAGTTTTACATAAAAGTATGCACATCTCGTTGACACACCCTGTACAATTAATATAATTATTAATCGTTGCTAGTGCTGCTTACTTCACTGCGGGCGAATAATGCTACAATTAAGCTCATATTGTGTAATATATACAGTGATATTATAAAAATTTGTACTTTTCTTGAAAGTTCGCAAAATGAAATATGAAACGTCAGGACCCACATTATCAATGTTCGGCTAGTCCACTCCTGTTTTCTTGTACAGAGGAATAGTCTGTTTAATCACACGCACATTCCTTCGCCGCCGTAATTAATCAGCAATGACGTAATGACAAGATAAATATGTATATGATTCCGTCATAGGCACGCGTCGTTGTATCTAGCATCTTCGGGAGTGAATTTCTCAAAATTTTCCTAGACAAAACAAAATTCCTCGCTGTTTTCCGACGACGGTGTAAATCGGTCTTGGCAAGCGCCGCCTACAACTCTTGCATACAATAGCCGAATTTAACCCGCGCATACCTCCTCCCTGTATAACAAAATCAATTAAAATGAGATTAACTAGAATTTTTGGCGCGCCAATGCGAATGGAAAGGGGCGGGGGGGCCGCAATGCGAAAGTTATTACAAAAATACATAAATTGTAAATAAATTACATGGCACCATTCATTATATTTTAATACACAATTGTTACACTTGGGATACTTTTTAACTCGTTCCAAACGCGCATAAATTTACGCTTTCCGTTTTAAATTTAATAATTTTTCAGTCTTTTGATTAAAATCGCAGGAAGTCGGTGCGGGTTTTCTTACAAAAAACAAAAACTTACCTCTCTCTCTTTCTGGCCGGGCGTAATTGTGTAGTTTTGGGAGGCCGGACGACATCTTTACCTGACAGTATTAGAAATTCAAATTCAATCTAATGCTGCCCGGTAAGATGTGAACAGTCCTCCATCTTTGGCTGGCGCGATCCTTCGGGAGCTTCCCCCCGTAAACGTCTGCGCAACGGATGGATCCAGAGGGATACTTTCGTCCAATCCCGATTATAATCGCGACTCGCGTTTTGATATAATAAAATGGCGACCGATGCGAGCACGTGCAACAGGACAAATTTATATATACGCAAACAGGTGCTGGTGGAGAAGGACAAATTTGTACTTACCCGAAGGCGGAGAGGCGTTAAACCGAAAAGGATCACAAACGTCGACTCGCACAACTCAAACTGCCACAATTATACAAGAACTACTTTAGAAATATAAAAATAACCCTAAGTGGGGGAAATGTCCTCTGATTATTCTATACTGATTGGGAAATATAACAAATCTTTGACCTACGATAAGCGCTTGCAAATATTTTCATAACGGACTTATTTTTAGAGCGTAGGTTATCGAAAATTTTCTTTGGTAACAGACGACGCGGACGGACGTCTCCGCGTTATGTAAGCGGAAAACTACGCCGCCGCGCGCGTTTGCACAACGGAACCCGAATTGTGCAAGGTTTCTGCCCTTTTTTTTTCGCGACGATAATGACATCTCGACCTATTTACAATGTTGCGCCGCATTTCGAAAGGCACGTGGTCGACGATGGTCAACTAATCGATATGTGCAAACATGAGATAAACATAGAAATTTATAATTTATGTACATATTTACACAGCTTGAAATGAATATTATGTGGCCGGTGGGCCCTGAACCGTACTTTTTTTGGGACATTCCTGCGATGTCGCCATCGTGTCACGGCAACGGGGACGTTATCGGCATGTATTGGACACGACCGCACGCGCAGACGAGATGATTGTGCCTTTTTTTTTCTCGTGATAAATAGCGAACGAAGGGATGACTTGCGGTCAAACGCCCCGTACGGAAGCCGAAGAGTGATTCAGTAGCAGGCGACGATGACGCCGTCATTTTTTTATGGCAAGTTTGGTCATCGTCACCAGGTGGTATTTGCTTTCAAGTATCGCGGAAGCTTTCGATTTTCGTCATCGAGACAAGTGCAGTGGCAATGTTGCCACGGCGATTTGGGTACATTTGAACTACTAACGTGAACTGTTATCTAAATTATGTGTGTGTCATCCATGTAACGGGTGAGCAACAAAATTTTTATTCGGAGGTGGCGCTGAAAGAGTGAGATAACGTTCGTATCGGTCATGTCTCGGTTTACTGCAGAAATAAGTAGATCTAATACCTAGCTACTGAGTGTTAAAAGTTAATATTAGACGTGACCTAAAACTTCCATGGCCTTCTCTGAATCAAAAATTTGCTCGCACCTTATAAAGGGCAGCTGAATTGTTCGCCATATTGTTGTTTTAAAAGTATAAAGAGCGATTCAAAAAATTAAGCGTCATAGTTGGCGGCGATAAGGTGTTTAGCGTGAACGGACCTTAATACACTTGTCAGATGTCTACGAGTTGTGAATTAAATTAAAATTTCAAATGTCTAATTAAGCGAATTGTCAGTTACATGGTATGTTCACTGCCAACTATGACGCTGAATCCTTTGAATCGCTCGATATTGTTAATTAAACTATTTTTCGTTACCTACTACGATAGTTGGAAATTTATGTACTTAGGTAATTTAGGTGGACGAAGATAGGAACATCTCATTTTCAGCCACTTCTGCAATATTTCGTAATTTTTGTAAATTTACGAAAACCGTCTTTACACGTATCTAAAGTTTTCTACATGTTTCTGAAACACCAACATCTTCCAAACATTTCCAAAATTTCTATAATTTGGAATAAATTTCCAATGTTGAAACTCTTCCGAAGCATTTTTGGAAAATTTTTTGAATCATTTCCAAAATTCTTAAAACATTCTAGAAACAATTTTCCTCCACAAATATTTCCAAATTTTAAATACAAATTGTAGCAAAATTTCTGCAATTTCTCAAACATGTCCAAATTTTCAACACATTTTTGTGTAAACTTTATACAAAGTGTAATTTCAAAAACGCCGCAAACTGTAGCGTGTATAATTTTTGTCTGAATTCAGTGAAATTGGGCATTAAAAAGCGTATTCAATTGTTTTTTGTAACCGAAAATGGTTTTAGGATTAAAATGTCAAACGTCGATATATAAGGTCTCACACTATTCAGAATGCGTTCTATAATAATAATATACAGGGGGTCTCATTTGAAATTCAAAAATTATAATTTTTGGTGTTAGAAAACACCCTTTTAATACAAATTTAGCTCCTACACACGGTTGCCAAATTTCATTGCGGCGTTTTTTAAGTTACACCCCTGCATAACGTGCGCCATAAGTCCCGGATTAGAGTAAACCTGCTCACTTATTAGGTTCCTCTGGTAAGCAGAGAAAATTTAGAAAATTTAAAAGAGTAAATACTCAAGCTCAAGACATCAAGGCCCAGCTTTCAAAGATTTGGTGGACAGGTTCTAGAAACCTTTACAGCTACATGACTTCAGTTTGAGCATATGGAATAGGAAATTAGAATAAATCTGGGGAGGGGAGGGGGGTACATTTTTTAAAACAAAGCGCAAATGAAAATAAGCATAATCGCAGTGCAGTGCATCTTTATACCTATTCCATAAATTGCCGTTATCAGTAATAAAATGTTATCTTTACGATGGGCGTGTACTCACTTTACTTAGCTACTCAGGTAGCGTTGGATTATTATACAAACAAGAGCATAATCTCGGGCATAATCTTTAGGAAGAATTTAAGCTTGAAGGAACCCGGGAACCGAGATTGAATTTCACGGGAAGCTAAAACACGGTTTCGATTTATGTCAAACTCGCCTTCGATTTGCTCGGAAGCACGAAATAGCGATACAATAACGTGGATACCCGATGTAGGCCGAGTTCGCCTTCGATTCGTGTGCTTTTTCAAAAATACGCTAAAAATTTGCTACAATTTGTTTCAGAACTATGGAAAGGTTATAGGTATGGGTTAAGTCGAGGGTTAAGTGCAGGAACAACGGTTGGCGATGACATTATTAAATGGAAACATTTAGCAAGGAACTCTTTAATTTTTCAAAAATGTGTTATTATAGTTCTGAAACTTTAAATTGAATGAGACCGAACCTAAAATTACAGACAAAAAGTCCAATTTTTGAAAGTTTCAAATTTGCAATTACCGCATAACTCAATTTTTTGGCTGAATTCTTAGTTTGGTCTCACTAACTCTAAAGTTTCAGAACTGCTTTTAGCTCATTGTTTAAAAATTAAAAGATTTTGTAAAAATAGTTCTGACACTTTAGTAGTGAGACTGAATTTAAAATTTCAATTTTTGAAGGTTTCAAATTTTTATGGTATACATAACTCGAATTTTTGGCTGAATTCTAAGTTTGGTTGCACTAATTCTAACATTTCAGTACATTTGTTAAAAATCAATGTTTTTGGCTCAATTCTTTGGTCTCAGTAATTCTACAGTTTCAAAATTATTTTTTGCACATTTTTTTAAAACTAAAATTTTTGGCTTTGGTCCCACTAATTCCAAAGTTTCAGAACTATTTTTCGCACAGTTTGATTAAGATTAAAAAATGTTAAAAATGGTTCTGAAACTTTAGTTGTGAGACCGAACGTAAAATTTCAGTCAAAAATTCAAATTTTTGAAGGTTTCAAATTTACAATGACCGTATAACTCCAATTTTTCCCTCAATTATAGGTTTGGTCTTACTAATTCTAAAGTTCCAAAACTATTTTTAACCCATTTTTTTTTTAATTAAAAATGTGCTAAAATAGTTCTGAGGCCGAACTTAGAATTTCGAATTTTCAAATTTGCTATGATCCTAATTTTTTATGGTAATTTTTAGAAACTTACAACATTCTACAAGATTGTAAAATCTAAAATATTCGAATTCAAGAATTATGAATTTCAAAATCAATACCTACACCACAAAAAAAAATGAAACATAGATTTAACCAATAACTATTCCAAATTCGCATTTTCTTTGGAGCGATTTGGAAATGGGGGGGGGGGGGGGAGTTTAGAATTGGCAACGAGTGCGATACAAGGGCCGCTCGTTAAGTGAATGCCGCTCGTTAACAGTATCGAATGCCTCGACCCCGCTCGTTCATGAATTACCACTCTCTGTCTGTTCGCCCGTACGTGCAAATGATTACTCCCGAACGGCTTCGAATTTTCCATTTTTTTCAGAAATAGGTAGACAATGGTCAAGGGACTAACTGATTCAATTTTGGTCAGTTGGACTTTCGCTTGAACCAAGAGGAACCTATATACTAAATTTGAAACTTAAGACGGTCGAGCAACCAGACGGACGAAAGTACAATGTTGAAGCTTTAATAATCTCAAAAACGTTATTTTTGCCTTAAATAATTGTTGCAGGCTAATTATATTTAAATTGGAATCTCAGAGTTTCAAATTGCCACCTAATTTGAATTTTTTTAAAATACTTGTATACAGGGTGTCGCACCTAAGATCCCTCGGATCATAACTCCTTTACTATAAAAGATACCGAAAAGTCTTAAAGCAAAATTCTACACAATTACAGTCGCCATATTTCTAAAACATTGATCGCCAGGGACGTGCTGTATTCCAGTGGCGTATCAAACTTGCATGTTTTTAAATTGAACACCCCATATTTTATTAGTTATTTTATTACTCATTTGGAATCTACTTAAAAAATACTAATTTTTGTATGTAACATGGTATACCCCTAACTTTAACGATTTCGCTGTTATAACCTTTTTTCGGCAGAATTTGACAGTTTTTCGATTTTTTTTAAGAGACGGCTAAGTTTTGGACTTTGGACCGAGGAAAGGTTATAACAGCGCAATCGGTAAAGTTAAAGGTTTAACATGTTACATTAAAAAAATAAGTATTTTTTAAGTAGATTCCAAATCAGTAATAAAATATAGGGTGTTCAAGTGCAAGTTTGATACGCTACTGGAATACAGCACGCCCCTGGGGATCAAAAATATTTTAGAAACATGCAGGCGGTAATTGTGTAGAATTTTGCTCTAAGACTTTTTCGGTATCTTTTATGGTAAAGGAGTTATGATCTGAGGGATCTTAGGTGCTACACCCTGTATACATGTGGAAAGGCCAAATGGAAGAATTTAAGATTTGTGTTACTGTACAGGGTTTCTCGGTATAATTTAACCCCCAATTTTTTTTTAATTTCGGGAACACAAGAAAGTTTCAAATCCGTATCGATTAAAAAAGTA